GGTTGTTAATAGGGCACCTTCTTGACCATAGCTATGCTATGTTAAAGTTTAGACTACTTTAGTCTTAAATTATCAGGTAGTTGGACCAGGGTATGGGAACACATGTCAGCTGGACCCCGGTTGTCTTGGAAACAGGTCAGAGTGTCCCGGAGAGCACCTGCTAACTGCAGATTTATGGCTTCTGTAAGTTATGCTTGGCTTGCTACTGCAAAATAGTAATTGTTACTTAATAGAATAAAAATTGTTAAGGGGGCTCTCCACCTGTAAGTTTGAGAACTTAAACTTTTCACCTCTGGTTATGATTTCTCTGTATAAAAGTTCAGTGCTACACCCTTGGGTTCGGACACCCTTGTGTAGTAGCCCTAGCCAGTAACGACTTTCATTCAGCAAAACTTTGTCTGAGTGGTCTTTTCTGGTGAAGCATCCCACAACAGTTGCTGTATACAAAGGGAAGATATGTAGAGAGCCTACCTTTTTAAAAGGCAGGTACATATTTAAGAGAATTCACTGTCCCCCAAATACAAAGGGAGTATTTGTTTGTAAAGCAACATTTCCACTAACACAATGAAGTGACACATTCTTTAAAGTCCTGGGAAAAAGAAAAATTAAACAATAAAAAAGTTCAGAAAAGAAAAACATCCATGTTAGAAAAAAAAAATAAAACTCGTAAAATGTATGAGTTGTTACTGGTATGTGAGCATGAAGTCCTACACATGAGCCAGAAAGAGAAAACGGGTGCCTACAGCTTAAGGAATTTGAAGAACTTTTAAGAACTGTATTAGGGCCTGGAGAGATGGCTCAGGGTTCGATTCTCAGCACCCACATGGCAGCTAACAAACCCCACAGGGAAATCCAGTGCCTTCTGAATTCCACAAGGATTCCACAACATGGGTGAACCTACATACATGGAGGCAAAACACTCATACACATAAAATAAAAACAATAAATCAAAAAAAATTAAAAATAAAAGTCTTAAAAATGGAGTGGTTATAAATTTAAATATTAAACACAGAACTGGAGAGATAGCTTAGCCAGTAAAGTGCCTGCTTTACAAGCACAAAGACCTGAGTTCAATCTCCAGAACCCACATGAAAAAAAATAAATAACAACAAAAATGCAACTTAGATGGGATGATGCATGCTTGTAATATCGCATTATTGGAGAGGTGGAGACAGGTGGATCTCTCTGAATAGACAGTATAACTTACTTGGTAAGTTCTAGTCCAATGAGAGACCCTGGTTCCAAAAGGAAAAAAAAAAAAAGAAGAAGGTAGACAGTTCCTGAGGAATGATAGCCAGGGAAACTAGTTCTGGAAAAGGCATAAAGGGAGATATCACAGAAACAATGTAAAGGTAAATTTAGGCATGTCAGACGCTGATAGTACCTCAAAGGCGATTTATAATTTGCATTTAAAGAAAACCTTTTGTGTTACTGTTGAAGGTAATGAATTTTTATTTGCTTTTTGTTTTTGAGACAGGATCTCACTCTGTAGCTATCCCTGATCTGGAATTCAAATGACGCCCTGGTTGGCCTGGAACTTGCTGTGTAGACCAGGCTGACCTCAAACTCACAGCACTCCATCTGCCTCAATCTATGGAGTACTAGAATTAAAGGCATATGCCCTAGAGCAAGGCTTCTTAACTGGTGGGAGAAGTTTAAGAAGCCCTGATTTAGGGTAGGGCTTAGACTAAGTCATGGTAGAATACTCTCCTAACAAGCACAAAGCCCTGGATTTGATCATTAGTACAGCAAAGTAAAAAAATAAAATAAAATGAAAATAAACCCTAGTTAAGAAAACAAAAAGTAGGCCTCTCTCTGACAGAGGGGCTGAGAATACAGGGGACTGCCTGAGAGAGGCCCCCATCCTGACTCCACATGGTGGTGAGCTTCCCCTAATTGCACCATACCCATCCCCCTACCTGGGATTTCATGAGGCCCCTCCCAAGGCCCCAAGGCAGATCTGGCTTTGGTAGCCTAAGGCTGAGATCCTAGCAGACTACCTGAGAGGGTAGACTGCCTGAGAGCGCCCAGATCCTTCCTCCATGTGGTGAAGGAAGCCTGAGTGTACCTGACTTGAACTTGAATTAGGCTTCTGTGGGAGCTCCTGTATAGCTGATCTGAAGCCATCAGTTCCCTCCAAATTAAACCTGAGAGAACCTGAACCCTGTACCAACCAGCTTTACATAACCAATAAAGAAAGGATCTAGACACCTCAATATTACAAACAGAAGCATACTTCAACTTAATTCTCATATCAGAAATATAAACAACAAAAGAAATTCACATGCCAAAATCACAATGAAAGAATAATAAAATGGAAAGCCAAAACACTATGTCCCCACCAAACTCCACCAATCCTATAGAAGAGCTTTACAAGGAGAATCCCCTAGAGATAACCTAGGACATTGAATTTAAAAGAACAATCATAAACATGATCAAGGAAGTCAATGAATTTAAAGAACACATGAACAAAAATCAAAGAGCTAAAAGAAGATAGGGATAAACTTCTGAATGAATTCACAATCGAGAAACATTGAAGAAAACTCAGGCAGAAATGAAGGAGTGAAAAACTCAATAAGCCAACTTGAAACAACAGGGGAACGCCTCACCTCTAGAATGAATGAAATGGAAAACAGAGTATCAACACTGAAGGATAAAGTTGAAGAATTGGACCACTCAAGCAAAGATTATGGAAATTTTTTTTAAAACACAGGACTGGAACAGGAAAGAGATGTAGGACACCATGAAAAGACCAAATCTATGGATCATAGGTGTTAGGGTTTGGACCCACAGCAACTCCCTCCCACAGTATAGCAGGGCCACACAGGTTTGCAAGCCCCTGAGAATGCAGGAACCAAGTTAATGACCACCCTGGTCTTTGAAGTCAAGAGAAGCAGACTTTTCTGCACCTTTTGGCCAAAGGCAGCAGGCTTTCCCTTTGATGATCTTGAAAGGTAAACAGACACCTCTTGACCCAGATCCTGGCTGAGGGATTTTTTTTTTAACATAAGCTGTTCTGATAAGCCCTGCTCTCCTACATCCCCCTGCCTAATTTTTAAAAAATATGTTCCTGCCTTCTGTAGCCCCCTATAAAAGACCCCAGTCCACGACCCATGGGCTGACATTTTCCCTCCCCCAAAGGGAATCTGTCCCATGCAAAATAAACTCTACCCTCCTGGAGTTTTTATCTGTGTCCTGGTGCTTTCTCCCAATTGACCTGGTTCATCTATCGGCTTCATCTATCATATGGTGCCAAAACCCGGTTCTGACTTCAAGGGACCTCTAACCTCTCGGAACTCACACATAAAAACCTCTGACTGGACCTGCATGCCGTTACTGGCCTCTGCAAACACCACTGATTTGGCTTTAAGGTACGCTCCCACCCTTCCTCTCTCTCTCCTTGCTCCTTCTCTCTGCCTTGCTTTCACTTTTTTCTGGCTCTCCTACATCTTTTGATCTCCTTTCCAAATGAATTAAGTCACTCCCGGACCGGACTCAAGGCCACTGGGCAGCACTGGTCTCTGCAACCATAGAGTGTCCTGCACGGTTACTGTGCCTGCCTAAGCCCATCTAGGGGAAAAACCTGCCTCCCCGACGCACTCAAATCCTTTCACTACCTCGGTTCCCTCCCTCTTCTCTCCTTTTCCTTGCTCCCAGCATCTCACCTTCCCTGGCATCTCACCTTCCCGGGCATCTCACCTTCATTTTCTCCTCTCTCTCTCTCTCTCTCTCTCTCTCTCTCTCTCTCTCTCTCTCTCTCTCTCTCTTTCTCTCTCTCTCCCTCTCCCCTTTTCTCTGGGCTTTCATCTTCTCTCTCTTCTTCTGTTTCTCTCTCTCTCCCTCTCCCCTTTGCCATGGGCTTTCAGGTCCTCTGTCTTCCACTGTTTATCCCTGCCTTTGTCCTCTTTCAGTATTTCTTCCCAATTTTAGGTCTCCTTTGCTTCCGTCCTTTAGGCTACCTTTCCTCCTTCCTCTAACTAGTTATGGATTCCCTGCACATGAAAATACTATGGATCCTTCTCCTCTCTCCCCATCCTGTAACTCTTGTTCTCCTTCTAAACCTACCTACAAATGTTTAGATCTCTGTAAGTCTACCTGCTTTTCTAAATTTTTCAGAGAAAATTTTCTTTATATCCCTTTTTAAACAGACTTTCATTAACACTTGTACTTTAATTTTCTCTAAAGCTTTCTACTCCCCTCTATATGGCTGCCAGCCCGTCATGTGTCTGACCTCCCATGCAAACTCTAAACCTGCATGGCTTCATGGCTTTCTTTCCTTCCCAGTATTCACCCCCTCAAGGCAGCTCCCAAGATTGCCAGCTCACTTGCCCTGGGGAAGATCTCTTAAGTGACCAGGTGAACTTCCTTATCCATTTTGCTATCTTGCCTTGGGGCATCCGGGCTTAGGCTGTTTAGCTCAGCAGCCTTGGTGGGGCATTTAAAAAATTTCAGGCAGCTTGCCAGATGGACAAATGTAAAAGATTTTAAAAAGCCGGTTATTTTCTCCTAAACTTTTTCTCAGGCAAAGGGGCTCGAAATTTTGATCTTAGGCCCTGTTGGGCACCAAGCAAGAGATGCTCAGGCACCTACTTTTCTAACTAGACCTAACCATTTTAAATTTCAGTATACATGGAAAGTCATAGGCAGTGCTCAGATGAGACATGCTTTCAGAGCAACAACCCAGTGATTTAATGTCCTGTTCCTTCTGCTACCCTCATGAGTTTCTTTTTCAGTATAGCTTATATCTAGGAATGAAGAAATCTGGAGAACTTTGCTTGCATTACAGCTACAATGGTTGGTGATTTGCTTTTCTCTTTGGGTCACACACACACACACACACACATGTGTGTGTGTGTGTGTGTGTATCTATATCTGAGGGTACTTTCTTCTTTTATATCAAGTCTAACCTACCAGTACCAGGGGTGCCTAGGAGTTCCCTGAACTTCAGACATTTAATCTTATGTCCTAATTCTCTTGCAATTTATTTTTGGTTTTGTTTCTTGATGATGTCATAGGATAAACAATGCATTTCTAGTTCAGACTAAGGGAGTAATGTCAGATCTCCACAATGGGAGTCTGAATTTTAACACTGTTTGGACCTGCTTCTAAAGGGGATTACTTTGAGTTTTATATTTACTAATTTCTAAAAGTGACTATTTCAATTCTTACTGTTTTGCATAGTATATTTTTTAGTTTCTAAAGGGAACTTAAAGTTTTTCTAGCCATATGCCTTCAAGGTACAAAGGAAGCTGACACTGTGATGACTAGACCTGTGAAGCACATGGAAATTTGCTGTATTCCAGGGCCAAACCTTACAAGAGACAAGCTGCTACCAACATATATTTACAACGAGAGTTAAAAAGTAATAGTCCACTTGAGTGAGAGGCTTAAGATGCCATCTCTACTGGTCTTAACTCCTCCCCTTTCTACATTGTGATTCTAAACCTATTTTTCTCTGGAATAGAGTTATTTTCCCTCTCTGATGCTCAGATGCTCTATGCTTGCTTGTGTTCCTGCCCCATCATGCCCTGAGTACTTTCTAATTATAATGTCAGGGTAATATTACTTATATTGGTAAATTGTCATGTGCTGTTTGAGCTCACTGAGACACTGACTCTGGGGATGGAATTGGCCCTCCCACTTCAGACTTAAGCCTATTATCTCAAGATGTCTAAGACTTTTCCAGGTTCAGGCTGGCCCCCTGACCCTGTGGCAAGGAAAAAGAGAACAACAAACAGCCTAAGAGTAAAGGCACTATGCAGTTGAGAACAGCTAAGGTGTAAATTAATTTCAACAGAGGGTATTACTGTCTATAGTGAAACTAGCTAATGGAATTATTTTCAATACTATTTAGACTTTATTTATTCTTAACCTAATCAGTTAATGTTTCCTTTTGTCTTTCCTATCTCCTCTGATTTATGTTCTTAGGTTGACAGGGTTTTATTTAATACCCTTCAGTCATTTAGCTCTTAAAAAGGGAAAAGATGCTACCTCAAATCTATATGGCAAACTTCACTCTTTCTTTAGACCACTAATTACATATACAAAAGGACATCTAAGCTGGTTGGGTAAAATCCTATTTGTTGAATACCATTTTTGTTTTTAGTTTACTTTCAAGGTGTTTTAAGGTGCATTCATTTTGTCTACTTCAAAGGTAGTTTGCTTTAAAAATAAGCCACATTCTCGACAAAGAGAATTAAATATGTATACACATATGAACTCACATATGTGTATATGTGTATACACATATACATAATTAAATATGTATACACAGTCAACATAAATTTATGTTTCTTAAAATTAATTTACTTGGTATCATATTAATTTTTTAAGTAAAATCTCATGCAAACTAAAAATGTTAAATTAATACCAAAATTTTTTTCAGGCCAAAATATTCTCTCTTTAATCTATAACATGGTTCCTGTTACTAAAATATATAAATTAATTTAAAGTACCTCTCTCTCTCTCTCTCTCTCTCTCTCTCTCTCTCCTCCCTTCTGGGGGCTCATCTTCACCCAGCTTCTACTAAACCTCAGGACCAACTCCTTCCACAAGCTTCCCTCCCTCCTGGCTTGTGTTTTTTTTTTTTTTCTCCCATCCCATTCCTCGTACTTTGTCTCCTACTACTGGCTAGTTGCACCACGCTCTCATTGCAAAGTTTTCTGCTCATCTCGCTTGCCTCAAAATCATACCGGTGTGTCAGAAAATGCCTTCCTTTCTCTGGATATGGGATGCTGTTTCTGGAGATAGGAACACTCACTACTTCCTGTCCAGGACAGGATCTCGTATTTCCCTTCCCTGATGATCTAACTGCAGGATGCTGCTTTCAGGGACCCAGAAATTATAACTCGAACCCACGCAAAAGAAAAGGACACTTTTTTGGTGCCAGGTTCTCCTCGTTCTCATTTTGCATGACCTATGCCAAACCCCTTCTCCTCCTACTCCCTCCCTGCCTCTCTCTTTCTTTTCCACTGTGCTTCTCTGCCTGGACTCCTGATCCTGCCTCCACTCCCTATGGAGAGATGATTTATTTTTATCTTCTGCCTGCTTGGTTCTGTCTCTACCTCCTACCCGCCTGCTTGGTTCTTTCTCCATTTTCTCTTCACTCTGTACATAATCTATCACTGTCTCCCCAGTAGCTTATCTCTCTAAACAGCTTGATACCACCATCTGGGGGTGGCAACCTTGTCTCCATGCTCTGGCTGCCACCACTCTCCTGGCTCAGAAGGGCCTAAGCTCACTTTGGGTCAGCCCATCTTCATCCTTTCTCCCCATCAGATTAAGGATTTAGTAACCCACACAGTCTCTTGTCAATCTAGCTCCCTCTAAACTACAACTCTCCATGTCATGTTTCTTGAAAACCCCTTGCTCATCATTGATTTCTGTCCTCCTCTCGATCCAGCCTCCCTCCTCCCTTCCAGCAAACTGCTCACTCACTCACTCATACTTGGAAACTCTTCAGGAACTCTCCTACCGGGATCCCCTAATCTCCCCAGATCCCCTACCAAACCCAACCCTGACTTGTGGATGAAAGTTCAACTCTCACCCCAATGGGATTCTGCAGGGCAGGGTATGCCATAGTGTCTCTCACTGATGTCATCAAGTCAGGACCCCTGCCATTTGGAACCACGTCACAAAAAGCTGAACTTATGGCACTCACCAGGACCCTAATTTTAGCCAAGGATGACCTCTTACTCCAGCATCCCTCCCCTCTACATGACTATTTACCTGCCTTCACCCTTCTAAGGAAACTACTCAGGGAACATGCTGACCAGATTATTCCTCAGGCTTCTAAAGGCCAAATTGACCACCCACTTCAACCTGGAGATCACATCTACCTGTGGGTTCATACCCAACAGAAAGCAGTGAAGGAAGCCCTCTAACTGCATTGGACTGGTCCTCACCTGGTGATCCTGTGTACCCTGACAGGAGCCAAGCTCCTGGGACCAACTGGTTGGATTCATCTCTCCAAATTAAAATTGGCCAAGGAACACAGCAAGTACCAGGCCACCAGTATCAGGCCTCTTAAATTAAAAATCTCGAGGACCCCTCCCTTAATACCAATCCAGGAATGAGTTTTCTACTGACTTTCTATTCTTCCCCCTGAACCCCACCTCAACCATTTTCCACTGCATCTACCCACCATGTTTCTAAAAATTTTAAATGAAAAAAAGATAATATATAGCTAATCTTAAAATTTCTAAGGTCATACATAGTTACTTAGTCTAAGGATGTCTAGTCAAGGTTTATTTAAGGATGTTGCCCAAGCTCTATTTACAAAGCACATGATAATTAAAAGTACCAGACTGGTGTAACTAACCTTGTTGGATGTTTAATAGCCAGACTTTAAGGCCTATACTAATCTGGTCAGAGGGACTTAAAGGGACAAATTTTTGTTGCTTGCCCTCCAAGGTCAAGCAAGTTCCAAGGGGCTATGGAGCATCTCTTGAAATGTCCTGTAACTGTGGTGAGTCACCTAACCTCTTGTTCAGAGAGGCCATGGAGACCCCAGAAGATGGACTTGAACCAGTGTCCAGTCTGGAAAGAGGAGGGTCAACACAGAGGAAACATTTCCTCCATGCTTCCAAGCGAAGCCCCAGTCAATCAGGACCTCTTGACTTATCTTCACGTAGATGGAACTGGTAAAAGAAAAGTCTGAGGATCCAGGGGCTCCCCCCAAGTCCATGTGACCCCTAAGGACCAAATCCTCATATGACCTTCAAAGTAAAAGTAAATTGATTTATTTGAGCCAACAGTATGGTCTTAAAGACCTAAAACAAAAATATAACCAAAAATCAAATTCTTCAGTTGTCTTAGTTTGTTTCTTCATTGCTGTGACAAAACACTTTGACCACTACCAACTTGGGGAGGAAAGGGTTTATTGATCTTACATCTCCCAGGTCACAGTTCATCCAGGAGCCCAAGATAGGAACTCAGGGCAGAAACCTGGAGGCAGGAGCTGGAGCACAGGCCATGGAGGAATGCTGCTTACTGGCTTGCTCCCCTGGCCCCTGCTCAGCCTGCTTTCTTATGCAACACAGGCCCACCTGCCCAGGGGTGGCACCACTCACAGTGGGCTGGGTCCTCCCACATCATTCATCAAGAAGATGTCCCTCAGACATGGCCACAGGCCAGTCCAATAGAGGCAATTCCCCGACTGAGGCTCCCTCAACCCAGGTGTGTCAAGTTGACACTAAAGTTATCCAGCACATCAGTGTATTTTAAGAGTTCAAGGGATTATACAACCCAGACATTAGACTTAAGTTCTTATGTTATTTATACAATTACCTCTCGTTGATGATTTTGTTCCTAGTAAGAAAATGCTACACAGATGTAAGACTTCAAATCTTGGTCTGCAATACTGTAGTGCCCACCTACAGCTAAGGGAGACAACCCACTATTGTTCTAGCCTAAAAACTTAAATGATGACTGAATTTGTTTTCTCTACCTACCTTGAAGCCTTTGAGAGGCAACTAACACTGATTCTAGCCACTCCAACAGCGATCAAAATGCCTGAAAACAAATCCTGAGTCCAGCCTTGGCAGAAAAAAAAAAAGAGCTATTACCTTGGTGCTAACCATTGCTCCTTGCCTCTTCAGATACTTTCAGGACCAAATCCAAAAACTAACTTGTAATAATTTTAATCAGTTGTTACTTTCCTTCCCTCCACATGTGTATGAGCACCTGTCAACGATTGAGGACCCTGTTCTGATGCATGAGGAGGGAACCCTCGCTGTCTGACCAAACCCTAATCCAGTCCCCCCCCCCCCACGTAGACCTTGCCGAGCAGGAAATAGCAAGATGACAATGGTGCCCCTTATACTATAACACAAAAGGCTGAAATGTTAGGGTTTGGACCCACAGCAACTCCCTCCCACAATGTAGCAGGGCCCCACAGATTCCCACCCACAATGTAGCAGGTCCCTTCCCACAAAGTAGCAGGGCCCTACCCTGGTCTTTGAAGTCAAGAGAAGCAGGCTTTTCTGAACCTTTTGGCCAAAGGCAGCAGGCTTTCCCTTTGATGATCTTGAAAGGTAAACAGACACATCTTGAGACAGATCCTGGCTGAGGGACCTAAGGGGGTGGATTTTTTTTAACAGAAGCTGTTCTGATAAGCCTTGCTCTCCAGCTTTCCCTTGCCTAAGTTTTTAAAAATCTGTTCCCACCTTCTGTAGCCCCCTATAAAAGACCCCAGCCCACAATCTCTGGACTGACAGTTTCCCTCCTCTGAAGGGAATCTGTCCGATGCAAAATAAACTCAATCCCAGTGGAGTTTTATCTGTGTCCTGGTGTTTTCTCCCGATTGACCCAGTTAATCTATCAGCTTCGTCTACCAATAGGAATAAAGGAAGGAGAAGACTTTCAGGTTAATAGTGTTGATCAGATCTTAAACAGGATTGTAGAAGAGAACATCCCAAAATTAAGGAAAGACATCCCCAAGAAGCACATAGAACAGCAAATAGACAAGATCAGAAAAGAAACTCCCCACAACATGTCATAGTAAAGACACTAAATGTACAGAACAAAGAGAGAATACTGAAATCAGCAAAAGAAAAACAATCACATACAAAGGAAAGCCCATCGGAATTATAGCTGACTTATCAGTGCAAACTATGAAAGCCAGAAGAGCCTGGACCAAGGTATTTCCAGTTCTACATGACAACAGATACCAGCCCAGAATACTTTACCCAGCAAAAAATGTTTATTATAGTTGAGGGGGAAAGGAAAATCTTCCATGACACGAATAGCCTGAAAGAATCCATGTCCATGAAGTCAGCCCTTCAAAGAATACTAGAAGCAATACAGAGAGCAGAGAGAGACACAACTATACCCTGGGGCAATGAAAGAAAATAAAGGTATAATCTAGGAAACACAAAATTAGACAGAGAACACAAACAGCAATCAAAATGACGGCAATCAATACACATCTTTCAATAATAACCTTCAATATCAATGGACTGAACTCCCCAGTCAAAAGACACAGGCTAAGTGAATGGATTAAGAAACAAAATCCACTTCTTTGCTGTCTGCAAGAAGCCCATCTCACAATTCAAGGACAGGCACTACCTTAAGGTAAAAAGATGGAAAAGAATATTCCAAGTAAATGGCACCAAGAAACAAGCAGGAGTGCAATTCTAATATCTGACAAAATAGACTTTAAAGTAAAACTAATCAAAAGAGATAAGGAGAGTCACTTCATTCTGATCAAAGGAACAGTTAACCAAGAAGATATTACAATCCTAAACATATATGCACCAAACTCTGGTGCACCCAAATTCATAAAAACACCACTACAGGACTTTAAGACACAGATTAACCTCAACTCAGTAATAGTGGGGGACTTCAATACCCCACTGTCTCTATTAGATGGTTCAACTGGACAAAAAATAAACAGAGAGACGTCTGAATTAAATGATACAATACATCAAATGAACCTAACACATGTCTTTCAAATATTCCACCCAAGCACCAAAGAATATACTTTCCACTCAGCACCCCATGGAACTTTTTCAAAAACTGCCCACATACTGGGCCACAAAACAAACCTCAACAAATACAAAAAAAAAAAAAATTGAAATAATCCCATGGATTCTATCAGACCACAATGCAATAAAGCTCAAAATCAGCACTGGACAAAGCCCTAGTCACTACATGAACTTGTGGCAATTGAACAACACATTGCTAAACAACGAGTGGGTCAAAGGAGAAATTAAGAAAAAAATAAAAGAATTCCTAGAATTCAATGAAAAGGACAACACAACACAACACAACCTCTGGAACACTTTAGTTTTTTGTTGTGTCTTTGGTATTAGAGTGATTGGCTTCATAGAAGGAAAAAGAGCACATGTAAATGATTTGACAGTACAACTCAAGACTCTTGAAAAGCAAGAACTAACCAACCCCAAACCTAGTAGACAAGAAGAAATAACAAAAATCAGAGAAGAAATTAATGAAACAGAAACAAACAAAAATCACCAAAAAAAAAATCAGTGGCTCTAAGAGCTGGTTCTTTGAAAGGTTAAACAAGATAGACTGACCCTTAGCTCAGTTACCAAAAGAAAGAGCAAATCCAAATCAACAAAATCAGAGATGAAGGGGGAAACATCACAACAGACACCCAAAAGATCCAGATGATTATAAGGGAATATTTTAAAAAGCATATACGCTACCAAATTTGAAAATCTAAAAGAAATGGATGGATATCTAAAATCATGGGAACCACCAATGTTAAACCAAAAAGAGATCAACAGTTTAAACAGACCCATAACATATGAGGAAATTGAAACAGTAATACAAAGCCTACCAACTAAAAAAAAGCCCAGGCCCAGATGGACTTACAGTAGAATTTGAGCAGACATTTAAAGAAGACCTCCAACCAATACTACTTAAATTACTAAAAAGATAGAAACAGAGGGAGAACTCCCAAATTCCTTCTATGAAGCCAGCATCACTCTAATACCCAAACCGGGTCAAGACACAATCCCCCAAAAAACTGTACACCCATATCCTTAATGAACACAGATGCAAAAACTCTCAATAAAATACTTGCAAACTGCAAGTATTTGATGATACACATCAAAAAGATCATTCACGGTGATCAATTAGGCTTTACCCCAGAGATGCAGGGATGGTTCAATATATACAAGTCAATAAACGTCACTAATCATAAAGGGACTCAAAGACAAAAACAACATTATCATCTTAATAGATGCAGAAAAGGCATTGAAAACAATTCAGCATGCACTTATGTGCCAAGTCATAGAGAGAACTGGACTGGAGGGAACATACATCAACATAATTAAAGCTATATACAACAAACCCACAGCCAACATCATTCTAAATGGAGAAAAACCAGAAGGATTCCCATTAAAATCAGGAACCAGACAAGGATGTCCACTATCTCCACTCCTTTTCAACACAGTGCTTGAAACTCTTGCTAGAGCAATAAGACAGGAGAAGGAAAATAAAGGAGTACTAATTGGAAAAGAAGAAGTCAAACTATCACTTTTTGCAGATGATATGATCTCTATACCTAAGAGATCCCGAAAGTTCCACCAGAAAACCCCAAGAACTGATCAACACTTTCTGTATAGTGTCAGGTTATAAACATCAATCTACAAAAATCAGTAGCCTTTTTATATACCAATAACAAGCAATTGGAGAAAGAATAAGGGGAAATGACCCCATTCACAATAGCTGAAAAAGAATATCTTGGAAAAAATCTGACCAAAGACACTAAACATCTTCAGCTGAGCCTCATAGCTAAACATCGTCTCAATTGGGCTTGTTGATGGTTGTGCTCATTCATTAAAGCAGGACCAAGCAGGGTCATTGGACCCTCATAGCATTATCCAGCCACTCTTCCCTAATCACACATGGCCTCCTGGACATGGGAGGGCTAAAGTATACAATCTAGGGAAGGCTAGGAAGAGAAGGCATGACCCAAGCTGGGTAAAGGCTTTCCAGTGTGCATACCCTCAGGTCGTACATACACCTCAGCAACTCCTCAGTTATCTCGGTAAGTAAGCTCAAGAAATTCATTGGTTCCCCAGGAAAACTTTAATCAAATATTGGCTTAACACTAGAACCTTTACAGGGAATAAGCATTGCTTAGTATCCTCAGGAAAAAAAAAAAGTCTCACAACAGATGGAAAATTTATTTATTAATGCTATTATGTCTCATAATTTTATTTTTAAAAAAGAAAATGAGAATGTAAAAGATGTTAAAAGGAGCTGGGCATGGTGGCACACGCCTTTAATACCAGCACTTGGGAGGCAGAGGTAGGTGGATCTCTGTGAGTTCGAGGCCAGCCTGGTCTACATAGCAAGTTCCAGGCCACCTGGGGCTACAGGGAGA